CCATTAAACATAGATTGGTGTTAGTTTACCGTCTTCTTATTACTACGTATTATTGTTTCTAATTAGAACCGTTTTACTTTATTGTCTCAAAAAACTCAAACTTATAAATCTCTAAAATTTCGGCGAAAATGAGCGGTAACGAGATACGAATTATCGCCGGCCGGCGGACTTTTTTTAAGTCTTTTTAGTACTAATCAAATTTTTATTTCTATATTATGTTAGAATTTGAAAATTATTATTATTTATAAATTATAATTTATTATTATTATGTTAGAACTTTAAAACTATTATGTTACAAATTAAAATTGATTATCTTGTAAAACTATTTATTACATTTTTTGAAATCTAATCAGTATTATAAAATAAATAGTTATATTATTTAATTTGTACTATATATAATACTGAAAAAGTATTATTTTAAAATATAAATATAAATCGTCATATTATCCAATGTATATTTTTGTTAGTACAAAATAATGATAAATGTGATTTTGTTTTCTATACTCAATAACTATAATTTATTATCTAAGTGATATTATTATGTTTAAAATTATTTAAAATTTCATGTTAAAAATTTTTATATTTGATTTAAGCTAGTACAATTTAATTGCGAAATATACTAGTATTTATTACCATCGTAATATTTTGCAGGTATCATTCGAAGATTTTGTAGGGGACGACATTGATTACAGTCCTATTTTCGTTATGGAGGAAGTATTTGATAGTGATACTAAAGCTATTAGATGTGCAAAAGAAATTACAATTTAATATGGTTTTGAATTGATCACTTCTTAACACAACGAAATGACAATTCAATATGGTTTTTGAATTGATCACTTCTTCAATATGAAGTTGTTGATGTGTGCATGAGGTGAACATTATAGAAGCAGTTTTGGATATTTAGACCAAGCTTCCAGAAGTTCGAAACTTAAGCGTGCAATTGCTCGTTTCGGATAACAGTCCAACAGGTGGCATGGTCCACATCTTTGGGAATCCGTGTAAGTACTGGTAATGGAACCCATAAGCATGCATTGGTTGTATATCCTGAGCGTTATCGACAGATGAGCGGACTTAGCGCACCATCTAAAGATATTGTGCGTGATATGACTGCTGCTCAGGCAAAACTAGTTGTAGTTTTGGTTGCGATCCAGGAAAAACATCCGGAAGACAACGCTACTCGACGATATTTCTATAACTATAAATATCAAGTGTGGAGAGATAATCTCGTGGGTAGAGATGTGACTACCTTGATTCTTCACTTGGCTTTAGTAAGTAAATATATAGTTTATACAGATGTTGATGAGGAGACACAAGCGTTGACACATCTGTTCATGACACATCCAGAAGCAGTCAACCTATTCCGAAGATATTACTGGTACATTGGTACAAATTCAATGAACAAAACCAACAGATATGTTACTTTAAAAACATATCGAAGGAATCATGAGACCTTTGCCTTTGTCATGGTGTCGATTTGCCATTTTTTTTGGAATTGATTGTTATGATCTTACTTTTTTGTGATTTTATTTATGTATTTTCTATAAATAAAGAGATGAAGGAGGAAGATGTTGAAGATGAAAGAGCGAGAGAGTAGAGAGATACGAGAGGTTGAAGAGAGAGAGAGAGAGAGAGAGAGAGAGAGAGAGAGAGAGAGTTGGGAGGAGAGAGAAACAAGAGAGTGAAAATTGTTAATTCATTCTATAATCCAAATCACTTTTCATACATGCCTTTTATACTCATCCACATGCCATTCACACAACTCACCACTTAATTCACATATGGACTATTTAATATATATAGGCCCAAAACTAAACATAATAAAATGAGTCCAACATAAAAGACTCAATACCAAAACATAAATTATCTAGATTATAAAATCGGCTCACCCCCTAGTCGGGTACATGACATTGATTTGGTGGGAATCCTGTCATCGGAGTTTGGGAGTGTTCTTAAAATTATTTAAAATATAGAGAATTA